CTGACCAGTCCTTCCCCTGATCTCATTCAATCCCTTGCTTGTTCAGAGCTCTGTTCAAGTATCACCACCTCTGCAGGGCTTTCTCTGACTAAAAATCCCACCTCCTGCCCTTCCCATTCTCTATTTTACTTCACAGAATTGGTCATTCCCTGACACATTATTACATCTTAATATATATGCACATAGCATATGATTGCTTGTTGCCCGCACACCCCTTCCCACCAAGTTTGTATAAGCTCTGAAGGCAGAGAGTTGGTTCTATTCCCAGGGCCTTGAAGATATTCTCAGGGCCTGGAAGATTTCTGAGCACATACAGGGGCTAAACTAAGCTACTGCCCTCACGGAGCTCCCAGTCTAATGGGGGCAAGCGTGCACAAGTGAATGTGTATGAGAGTGTGTGTGCAAGTGTGTATGTGTGTGTGTGTGTGTGTGTGTGTGTGTGTGTACACAGGCATGTGTTAGATCACAGTAGACACAGAGCAGCCAGCTAATACATAGTAGAGGTTAAGATCAGTGATGATTGAGATAGTGTGGTCAAGAAGACCTCTCTGGGGAGGTGACATTTGAGTATCTGAGTATGACAAATGAAGCCATGTGGGATCTAGAAAGCCCTTCCCAAGCCACCCTGCTCCAGCCAGTTCAGATGCCCCCCTTACAAGTTCCCTGTGACACCAAAGCCCTTCCTTCCAGGACTTACTTCAATTGTAATTCATGTGTGCTGGTGTAACCCTTGGATGAAGGTATGTGTCTCCTGCAGACTGAAAGCTCTATGAGAGATTCTGTTTATATTATAACTCCAGACACAAGCTGGGACATAGTAAATGCTCAGTATTCTTTTGCAAACAACAAACAAATGGATAAACAAACATAGGCAGTTCCCCCAAGAGAATGACCAGAAGGCTTTGACACGCTCTGTGGCCTGGGAGGTCAACTAAAATGGCTACATCAATTTCTTTACAAAATGTGCCTGCCCAACCCCTCCTCTTACCACCATCACACTCCTCCTGCCCCTTTCAAGGAGTACTGCCCTGAACTGTGCTGTTGATGAGGAACTGGGGGATCCAAGGCAGCCATATTTGATTGGAAGGAGGTGGGAGCAGATATCACCTGAGAATGCATATGACCCACAGGGGACCATAGGCAAGATCCACCACAGAAGTCAGACCAGGGGCCTGAGGGCCTCTCTTCCTGAGGCTGTGAGGAGCTTAATGGTTTAATCCCACAGCATTTCAGGGCCCACTTCCGGACTCACCACCGCCCGCCCCCACAACACACACAGCTATACTGCATCTTCTGGGGCTTCTTCTCTCCTCTCTTCAGCTCAAGGTCTGGTAAAGCTTGACTCTTGGACCCGTCTGATCAAAGTCTCCTTGATTTCTGTCAATCCAGCTTTCCATGGCTGCTAGTAGAAATCCTGTCCTTCAGTCAAGGGCATCCCTTTGCTGGCTACTATGCTTTCTGACTTTTCTGGTAACTATCCACGTGCATGAAATGACAGCCTTTAGCAGTCCTCTGTCAGAGTCTAAAGCTGTCTTTCAAGAGAACCTCCACCATGAAGCTCTCTGTGATACCTTGAGCTAAGTGCATTCTCTGCAAGTGCAGAGATCCTCTTGTGGGTAGACTGAGATGCTCGATGAAGCAGTAAATGCCCAGCACTGTCTGTTCCATGTTTGTGCTATCCTCCCCCATTAGGTTGCCTATTATCAAATGGCAGAAAGTGTGTCTTATATTATTTTGCTTGGTATAAAGCAGTTGCTTACTAAGGACTTGATAGGTTGATTGAAGGGAAGCATCACTCTTGACCATCAGCAATGTTTATATAGACTGGCTATCCATTACTCACCCTTACAGGATTGAAGTATTGTGTGTTTCCACCTGGTGATTTTGTGTAATCAGAAAGTCTTTCCAAAATAAGAGGCTGTCAGACAAGACAGAATTTCATTTTCACAAAACTAGAATGTAGCAAATGGAATAAAGAAACTGGGAAATGACAGCTAAGTCAGAGTTCACCATGGATATTGGGCAGTTAGAATCAAGCTTAAAAGGAAATTGGGCTGGGTTACTGAGAAGGATGAGAACACTTTGTGACACCGTTTGTGGGGGGCTGAATTACTGTCTCCCCATAGGAGGTTCTGCATCCCCAGAACCTGTGCATGTTACCTTATGTGGCAAAAGGGAATTTACAGATTTGACTCAGTTAAGGTTTCTGAGATGGGGAGATAATCCTGCGTCATCCAGGTGGGACCACCATCATCAGAAAGGTCCTCAGAAAGGGCAGGCAAGAGATCAGAGCAAGTGGCTGGAGATAGGAGGATAGAAGCAGAAGACTGGGGTGACGTGAGGCGGGGCCCACAAGCCAGGCATGCAGCCAGCCTCTGGAAGCTGGAAAAGGCCAAGGGATGGATACTCCCTTCAAAGCCTTCCGAAGGAATCAGCCCTTCCCGGACCTTGATTTATCCCAGTCAGATGGATTTTAGTTCAGACCTCTAGCCTGTTAGAGAATAAATCCATGTTGTTTTAAGCCCCTAAAGTTGTGGTAATTGTTACAGTGGCAGGAAGAAACTAGTTCACTATGAAAAGACCATCAGTGATGAGGGGAATGTTGTCTCCTGTGAGAACCGCTCTGGGCTCTGTGTCTGAGAGTGGGCTCCAGAAAAACTTGTGTCCTGGAAGCCCCACATTCTCAGTGGCAGAGCTACCAACAAGGGCAAAAGGCTGGGGATATACCACGCCACCTAAACTCCCCATGTATCTTCTTCTGTGAAGAAGACATTTTGTGGTGAGAGCTAGAAAGCAAGGTCTAAAGAATAAGCCTGATGCCAGGAACTCACATCCTCTTTTTGGACATTCTGTCTAAAGAGAGGTCTATTTCCATAAATCAAAACCAAGACAAATCTGGGGAACCACAGTGCCTTGAGGAGCAGCTGATTGAATAATTGGTCAGTTATCACTGGGAGAAGAGAATCAATCAAATGAGCCGATTTTGCTGAGTTGACTTTTATTGTCTTAAATTTTATTTATCTCAAGACCCCATCTCAGGATTCCCTAGACAAAGCCCAGACCCTGGGATTTATCACCAGTTTCAAATACCTAAAATCATCCCAGACATGCCAGCCTTCTGTTTCTGAATCATGGGATTTTTCAGGCAGTCTGTGTATAGTCTCATTAAAGGCAAAAATATACAAAATGTGAAGCAAAAGAGAAAAGTACAGCTTCATGCCCCATAAGCAATATATGCTAAAAAAAAAAAAAAATCAAGACTCCAAACATCCTCTCTGTCCTGTTTATTTTTTTCTTATCTGTAAAAGCAAAATGTACACAGAGTCTTCACCACATAATGTCAGGGTCGAATCCATGATAAACTGTAGTTTGATAAGAGGCAGGGTCAAGAGACCTTCATCCTGAAATGATCCTCAGCGGTGACTTTTCATTTGTGGGGTTTCAAAACAAGGCCACATTTGGGGAAAAGAAAGGTCTGTGGCAATGTTAACTTGGTGTGCTTTAATGCAGTTTATAAAACACATCTCCCAAACATTTATTTTTCAGTCAGCCTTCTGGCTAGAGTTTAGGATAAGCAACAAAATGAAAGAAACCTCCCAAACATTGACATTGGCACTTAAAAAGAAAATAATAATAAAAACAAGTATTAAAACATTTCTAGTATATTTTCATCTAAAATGTGTTGACATAAAATTTCTAAGAATGCCTCATAATTATTAGCATGTTTTGGGTTTTTTTTTTTTCTTCTTCTCATAGGAGTTACAAATACTTAGATTTAGACAGCTGGGTTCACACAGAAAAAAAGTTCTTTATTAAAAAAACTCAACAATGAGAAAATCATTACGTGAGTCTGGCAGAAGGAAAGCTCTCTTCTGCTCTCAGACTAACCTTAGCCTAGAGCATTCTGGGCTTACTTTGGATTATTGATTTGTCCTCGTCTGTCTCCCTCCCTTATCCCCATGAGCACTCTTGCATTCATGAGTGTGCACGCACCAGGTGACTTCTTTATAAGAAAACACCAGAAGAAATAGTAAGAACTAACAAAATGCAACGTATTCTCCGAACCAGCGGTTCTCAAACTCCAGCAGGCAGAAATGCAAAAAGTGTGTGAGAAATGCAAAGAATAGGTTTAACAGGTAATTCGGATTCAGATAGTTACTAAACTCACAGGTCCTTTCTAGTCCAAAAGAACATAAGGATGCTGATTTTCCTTTTAATTGGGGGAGGGGAGAGGCACAGCCTGCCATAAACTGGTTGCAGGGGTGTCTGTGAGGACTTTTTGAACAAAAATTAGAAGAAAAGCACCGCTCATCTCCTGCCATCCCCAGCCCACCACCTGTGGAAAATGGAGCTGGGTTTGGGGGCTGGGAGAGACAGTGGGGTCCCAAGGCAGAGCCCTGACACACTCCTTCCCAATGCCAGGGTACTGGCCCCATCTCCAGGGTAATCCAGCAGAGGTTTCTAGAACACTGTGAGAGTGTTAGCGCAGAAGGAGCTGCTTCCTGAACTGCGATCTGCACAAAGGAGGGCAACCTCTGTTTGTAACCAAAGTGTTTCTGAGCCCCGCAGAGACCAGAGCTGCCTTCCTGAGGACTTTGGCCCAGAGACCCCTGGGTGGCCTCATTTCCTATACTGAGCACAACATTAGCAGCCGCTTGGACAGATGCACAGAGAACTGAAAGGGAGAGGCCAGGTTAGTGAGCTGGGACACTCCCACTCCAGGCCTTCCATTCCTCCTGTTGGTAGACCAGCCAGGCTGTACCTATCTGCTAACCTGCTGTGCCAGGTAAGCCGGGCTCCACAGTCTCCCCAGGCAGGTGCTCTGGGAGGCCACAAGTGTGTTTGGCACTAACTGGGCAGCAGTGGGCAGTGCTGCTGGGCTCATGCATTTGACTTGATTCCAATTTCCATTTTTAACCCTTCCAAACCCTTGTGCTGCGCTGAAAGTGACCCCCTTCTCAGTGACCCAGCCTGAGTCAGGCTGAATGGCTCAGAGGGAGTCAGGGCACTGTTCGCTCCCAGAGTTTCTCTCGAAGCAGCCACTGCCCTTTGGGGTTCTCCATCTCATGGTAGTCCTTCCCCAGAGACTCCAAGGGCTCCGGCGCGAAGAGTTCCATATCCCATTCCATGTCTTCTCCTGAGATGTTGTAGAGGATCTGTCGGGGGCTCCCCAGGCTGGAAGGGAGGAATGAGGCAGACGGTTGAAGCGTGGTTTGGCTAGTTGCACAGAGAAGGGACACTCTGAGTCACTATTCCAATGGAGTTAACAGTGGTAACTGGTCTTGGGAGAATTGGATCTGGAGGGAGAAAGGCCAAAAGATGGTAGCAAGGTGGCCAGGAGGTGCCCAGCCAACAAGAAATTCTCCATCTAAGTCAGGCCAATGCCTTTCCAAGGTAGGGACATCTGATTAGTTTGGTGCTGGTTCCCTCTTGGTGCTATGCCCAACTCAACCCCAAATGCGCATTAAAAATCTGTAGCACAAGGTTGTCAGTGGCACAGCAGGGGTGGGGAGACAATGAAAGAGGGTGGCACAAAGCATGTGGGCCAAGAAGGCCAGAAGGAAAGACAGGCAGATCCACAGCCAAAGGGACCATGAGGAGTGGTGACAGCAGTGAACCAGGCTGGAGTATGAGCATAGACTAGGAAAAAACATCTTTAATAATGATCTCCCTCTCCCCAAAATAGATAAGAATAATTTTTGGTATATAGGTTGGGGACTCAAGTCACCTTAAAGACCACCCCCAGGAGTCTGGAGGACACGAAAACGTCTTGGCTGAACAACTTGGTCCGAGCACTTACTCTTTTTTGCAGGCTTTGGGCTTAAATTTCAAAGTGTTGAATGCCCCTTCCACAGCCTTGGGCAAGTAAATGGGGTGCCTCTCAAGCCTCCTCTGAGTGCCAATGGTCCTGCACTCCGTGGTCCTTCGAAACTGGCCATCTGTCGCATGCACAGCGTGCGCGGCGATGTCCTCGGAGTGCCGGCGTGGCGCCCGCAGGATCCAGTTGGAGTGCAGGCTGTGCACCCGGGAGCTGGTGGCAACTGGAAGAGAGAAGTCGGAGCCCCGGGAAAGGAGGACTCTCCCTCAGGGAGGAGCAGGAGACAGTGCCTCGGGCTGAAAGCCCACGACAAATGCACAGATCCCACAGTGGGTTCTTAGAGAGGATGGGAAAGGCAAGTGGGGGGGACGATCTGTCCTGACCCTGCAATTATGGTTAGGGAGATGGCGAAATATTGCTGTGTTCATTAAAAATAAGGACACAGATCTATGTGTACTGACTTGGAGAGCCACCCACGATAGACTGCAAATAGTGAAATGAAAAGAGCAGAGGACAAAATAGCAAAGAGATCCTGTTTTCCGCAACCTCGGTGGATTTTTGCTGTCCTTTCACCCATGTCCTGGTTTTCCCAGGCCCCGCTGCCGAGAAGAGGGCTGGTCTCTGTCTGGGACTGAGGGGCTGCAGTCAAGGAGGAGGGCGAGCAGAGGCCCCTGCAAGGAACAGCGAGATTGGGGAGTGGGAGGGGTCACCTGTGAAATTCCATGAGAACCTAAATGTCACAGAGACAGCGCTTGGAGGCCAGACCAACTACAAACCACAAGGATCTTTTCTTTGATCTTTTGAGCATTAAGTAAAACACTCAAGTAATATGTAGTACTGGTACCAAAAGTTGGTCCCTCAGCAACAATGGCCAGTAACCCCTGAATAAAATCGTCATAAATGACACCCAGGAGGGCAAGTCAAAGACTGAAGAAACTGACAGTCAAGTAATGGAATTTAAAGGTGGGATGAGCTCATGAAGTGGTGGGATTGGTTGCTTTCTACCAGGAGAGAGCCAGTGATGCAGGCTGGCAAGGACAAACGCATCAGCCACAGCCCTTAGCTCGGTCCCTCTCCAGGGACCCAGGCAGGCCCAGCAGGCCCCCTGCTCCTTTCCCGCCCTGTGCATCGTCCTCAGAGCCCTGAGCATGAGGGCCTCAGAGGGCGCTGTGGGCAGAGGGGGGACAAAGTGGATGAAGGAGCAGTCAGGTCCCGCAGAGAGTGCCAAAGGAGCTCAGGTAGAGGGAGAAGCTAAATTTTTTAAATACAGATTCTCTGCCCCTTTTTCTTTAAAAGAAAAAAAAAGTGGTAAAATACAGAGAACCTAAAATTTACCATATGAGCCATCTTTCAGTGACCAGTCCAGTAGTGCAGAATATATTCCCACTGGCCAGGGATGGCTCTCCAGGACTTCTTCCTCTTGCAAGACTGAAACTCTGTCTTCATACCCATGTCACACCAGCTCCCCCTCTAACCCCTTTCTTTAGTGCTTTGTCTCAGCTTTGGCCAGTGGACCACAGGAAGGAGTTTGGGTCCAAATATGTGACAGGTTGTCGGGTAGGCTGGGTGGTGGCTGCAGGGATAGCTAAAGCAAAGCCCCCTACCCCCGCCTCCAGAAAAAGAGCAAGCCCTGGGCGGGGCTCTGGAGTGCAGTGTGGGTTTCCCTTTACTCGGAGTTGGGGTTCCCCAGAGCTCCTCTGCCAGCCCAGTCCAGAAACCGTCCCCCACCCACCTCCTGCCCCGCCCCGGGGCGAGCGCTCACCATCAAAGTCCACGTCCTCATTCAGGGGCTCTGCCTCAGCAGCCTGGGGCCGCTTCTCTGTATCCAGCTCAGCGATGATAGAATCAAAGAAGGCCATGGCCTCGGCCACATCGGTGCTGAACTGGGAGTACTTCTTTGCAGCTGCTTTCTGCTAGAGGCAAGGGGGCAGGAGAGAGAGTTGCCTGAGCCAGCCTCTGAGCACCCACACACAAGCAAGCCACCACCGCCAAAAAGAACGCAGCGTCACTGAAGCAGAATGTATGTGTGGTTATGAATTTGCAGTTTAAACAGTAAATTTAAGTGAGTGTCCTGGGGAAGGAGACACAACTGCGGTGTGTCAGTTGGTTTCTAATTGCCTCAAGGAGAGACAAGTAAATAATAAGATCTACCTCGTTCTCACTCAGAGACTGTTATGGATCTTTAGGCAAAATACTTAGTCTTCCTTTGGCCATTTTCCCTGCAGGTAAACACCCGGTTAGGGGACCGTGCAACTCCTGCTGGGAGGCAATGAGGGGCTCCCAACAGGAAAGAAAGGACAAGGTAGATTGGAAATGCTCTGAAAGAGCTGTCAGGACCCAAAGTGGCCAAACTTGGGCTCAAGTCATGGAATAAATTGAAGAAAAATTAGTATAATTGTTTGAAAAATATAAGGAATGATAAAATACGGAGTTTAAAAAAAAAAAAAAAAGGTCTACAGTGTGCCTAACCAGCTTCCAGGCTCTGTCCTGATCTGTTCTTCTTCATGATCTCATTCCTCACCACGGTCTTCACAAACTCCCACCAGGGGAAGTTCAGGCCCCCTGGTGCACCTCCATGGAGAACTCTCAGTGAAAGGCACAGAATCATCGTGGGAGCCTATGAAAGACCATCGGAGGAATTTAGGAAAGAAGAGAACTCAGGGAGGATAAGAAGGGACAATGTGTGTTAACTTGGGCTGTTTGATCTCTGTAGAGTTATTTTATTTTATGTGAGCATTTTTATTTTATTTTTGCTTTATTCGAGTAGAGTGAACACACCATGTTACATGAGTTTCAGGTGTGCAGTGTAGTGATTTGACAAGTGTATATAGTAGGCTATGTTTACCACAGATGTACCTTCCAGCTATCCCATTATATCGCTATTATAGTATCATTGATGGTATTCCTTATGCTGTGTCTTTTGTTCTCATAACTTATTCATTCCATGACTGGAAGCCTGTATCTCTCACTCTCCTTCACCCATTTTGTCCAACTCCCCATCCCTCCCCTCTGGCATCCATTAGCTTGTTCTCTGTATTTATAGGTCTGCTTCTGCCTTCTGTTTATTCATTTGCTTTTGTTTCTTTTTTAGATCGCACTTATGAGTGGAATCATATGGTATTTGTCTTTCCCAGTCTGACTTGTTCCACTAGCATAATACCCTCCAAGTCCACTCATGTTGTCTCTTAATGATTCAATATTGTCTTTTTATGGTTGTGTAATATTCCAGTGTGTGTGTATGTGTGTTTGTGTGACCACATCTTCCTTATCCGTTTGTCTATTGATGGACACTTGGATTGCTTCCATAATTTGGTTATTGTAAATAATACTGCAATAAACACCAGGATGCCTATATCTTTCCAAATTAGTGTTTTGTGTTCTTTGGGTAAATACTCAATAGTGGAAATATTGGGACATATAGTACTTCTATTTTTAATTTTTTGAGGAACCTCGATACCATTTTTCACAGTGGCTGCCCTAATTTGTATTTCCACCAACAGTGCACAAGAGTTTCTTTTTCTTTACATCATGATCAACACTCGTTGTTTCTTGTCTTTTTAATTCGAGCCATTCTGATAAGGATAAGGTGATATCTAATTGCAGTTTTGATTCGCACTTCCCTAATGATGAATGAATTGAGCATCTTTTCCCGTGTCTTTTGGCCATCTATACATCTTCTTCAGAAAAATGTCTATTAGGTCCTCTGTCCATTTTTTTTTAAAGATTTTATTTATTTATTTGACAGACAGATATCACAAGTAGGCAGAGAAGCAGACAGATAGAGAGAGGTGGAAGCAGGCTCCCTGCAGAGCACAGAGCCTGATGTGGGGCTCGATCCCAGGACACTAGGACCATGACCTGAGCCGAAGGCAGAGGCTTTAACCCACTGAGCCACCCAGGTGCCCCCTTCTGTCCATTTTTTAATTGAGTTTTTATTTTTTGGTATTGAGTTGTATAAGTTCTTTATACATTTTGGATATTAGCTCTTCATTGGCAAATATCTTCTCCCATTCTCCCATTCCCTAGGTTGCCTCTCCATTTTGTGGATGGCTTCATTTGCTGTGTAAAAACTGTTTATTTTGATGTAGTACCAATAGTTTATTTTTACTTTTATTTCCTCTGCTTCAGGAGGCATATCTAGAAAAATGCTGCTATAGCCAATGTCAGAGAAATTACTTCCTGTGCTTTCTTCTAGGATTTTGATGGTTTTGGGTCTCACATTTAGGTCTTAAATCCATTTTGAGTTCATTTTTGTGTATGTTGTTAGAAAGTGGTCTGGTTTCATTCTTTTGCATGTAGCTGTCCCTTTTTCCGAGCACCATTTATCCAACAGACTGTCTTTCCCCCATTGTATATTCTTGCCTCCTTTGTCTTAGATTAATTGACTTTATAACCATGAGTTTATTTCTGGAGTCCCTATTCTGTTCCATTGATCTATGTGTCTGTTTTTGTGCCATATGTGGGCATTTTTAGAGGGGGATGGTATTAAAAGTGAATATTAAATTACAGGCTGGAATGCTGGGAAATGAAATGATGACATCTGTAGGTACATACAAGATCTTGGTGAAATGTATGCATTTCATACTACTAAAAACATTTTTAAACGGAAAGGTTTTTTTTTCCTTTTATATTTGTAAGGCGCTTTCTTAGAGAAAATTTTGAAAAAGCCCAACATACACTTGAATCTTTTGTGTTATAAGTGGAATACTATCCACATGTACTTAATCTTCCCTCTTCAAAGAGCCCACTAAAATGAAACCAGGAGGGCAGAGAGAAGAAAACCTAATGACAAAGGGAAGAAGAAAGAGGACATCAGTGAAAGATATATTTCCAGAAATTTCTGGCAGTTGCAAAGCAACTGAAGTGGGGGAGATATGAAAGAGCAAAAGGACCAGCCTTCTGGAACATCATGAGTTGGGGAAGTAAAAGGGTTATAATTGGACCCTTGGGAACTGGAAATGCACCAGACTTGGCAACACCAGGTACACTAAGGGTTCAGAGTGGGGAGCAGGACTAAAACCAGAAGGACTGGTTGGCAGTCTGTATGAGCACAGCAGGCCAGGCCACCAGGCATCCTTCCTGCAGGCAGATGACAGGAGGGCCCATCTCTAAAGCAGGTCATGATACTTGTCCTCCCTGTGGTTTTTCTTAATGGTCCCTCTGCCTTCAATGTCTCATCAGGGCTGATTTCTACTCATCCATCAAGATGGGCTGGGTCAACTCATTCTCCACTTAGTCACAGGAGACCCCTCTCCTGGATTGGTCTCTCCTCTAGGCTCCATGGTCTTCAGTCCCTAACCTAATTCTACTATGACACCTATCATTTTAGAAAATTTTTTTTTGTGAAGTGAAAAATAGAGAAACAAAGAATGGAGAAATCCACAAAATCTGGACTGAACCCCAAAAGAAGGATGAATATTATTTAATAGGGATGCAAGGTCTGTAGGTCTTTGTATCTCAGCACCCGTGGAAAGGGTATCTCTGAGTCTCTGACTCAGAAACTTCCATCAGTGTTGGGTTTAAGGCAAGGGTCTCCATCTCACATGTGGGCATCAGGTTCTTTTTCATGGAGTCACCCTACAAAATGATCTAAGCTGCTCATTCCTCAGTGTCTCCAGGAAGTAGACTTTGGCCAGTAGCTTAGAGCAGCCTGAATCCATTGCTTTCATTTATTAAAGAATTTAGAAAAGAGTCAGCTTTGATGTCTTAACTACCAAAGGCTCAGAAATGAGCGAGACCGCAACTATTAGCTATGTTAACAGGAACCCTTGACTGTGGCCTCTCGAAAATCTCGTAAATCCAGAAACTCCTCAAGTGTTGTCCTTCGAGGATCACATTTACAAGTTAAAAAGGAAATAATCAGCATACATGATGACTTTAGCCATCGCACTTTCTGTCCATCAAAACCAGTGGACAAAGACCCTTTCAGCTGCACACTTGTTGGTCATCCCAAATATTTAAATATATTGTTTGCCTCCAAAGCCTCAAGCTTCAGGATTTGAGATTCGGATCTCACTTGCCCTCTCTACAAGGCTGAGAAGCGATTGCCTTCAGGGCCACCCTGACATAGAAGCCCCTCAGCCAGCCCGGGAGGGTCCACTCTTCCAGGTCCTACTTCTGGGGTCTCTGCTGGCCCATCCAACACATTCCCATTCTAAAACTTGCTTCTGCTAGAAGAGCCTATAGATCTTGGTGTGTCTGGAGAATGAGATCTTGGTGACTCTGTCTGTGGCTGACCCATATTTACCTGTGTGGCTGAGTCTTATCCCAAAGGAGAGCTCCCCCCACTTGCCCCAACTGCCTTTGTCCATTCCCCCTAAACCCTTCATGGAATGATGTAGGGACATAAATAAGTGCAAATGAATAAGCTCTGCTCCTCTCCCTGTACCAACAACAGTGTAGAGGAGCTCCCACAGGGGTGAACCCCAACATCTACCTTTCCCTTCCAGTCCCCAAACTTGACCTAAACCCCCTCCTGGGAAGGCCTCCCCTCAGCTTGTCTTTATGCAGCTTTGATTGCTTCCTGGGTTTCGTGTTCAGCATTCACCTCTGCTAAGATTCACGCTGGGTAGGAGCCAAGGTTCTTGTTCATCTCTCCATTGTTTTTTGTTTTTTTTTAATATAAGCAAATGTGAATTTATATTTGTGTTTACCCACTTTCTTAAAAAACAAAATGACACCTACCAGATAGGGCTGTAAACATTGCTTTCTTCACTCCGTGTATCCTGAGGACTACTTCACAGCAGTAGAGAGAGACCGCCCTCTGCCCCAGGAACCATGCCTGGCTCCCCAATGTGCGGACCCACTGACAGAACAGACCACAGCCCCCTGTTGTCAGCTCTTTGACTTCTCAGTAATCTTTGGCTATCCAAGTTAGTGCTTAATGCGTATGCCATTTTGCATTTTGCCA